GGAAAAGAAAAAGAAAAAAAAAAGAAGGGGGAAAAAAAAAAAAATTCCAAAAAACGGTTCCAGAGGCCACGCCCCCTCGGGAGCTCCAGGCCACGCCCCTCGCGCGTTCATTGGTTGCTTCCTGACAGCTCCGCCCCTTTTCCCCCGCTGTCCAATCAGCGCTCGGGGGCGGGGCCAGCGCCGCGGTCGCGGCGGAGGTGACGGAAAAGCCGCGGGGCCGCAGGTCGGTGGGGACAGACCGGGACAGACCCGGGACAGACCGGGACAGACCGGGACAGACCGGGGAGAACCCGGGACAGACCGGGGACACGGGGACAGACCGGGGACAGACCGGGACAGACCGGGACAGACCGGGGACAGACCGGGACACAGGGACAGACCCGGGACAGGCCGGGGACAGACTGGGACAGACCGGGACAGACCCGGGACACGGGGACAGACCCGGGACACGGGGACAGACCGGGGACAGACCGGGGAGAACCCGGGACAGACCCGGGACAGACCCGGGACACGGTGACAGACCAGGGACAGCCTGGGACAGACCGGGACAGACCCCGGACAGACCGGGGACACGGGGACAGACCGGGACAGACCCGGGACAGACCCGGGACACGGGGACAGACCCGGGACAGCCTTGGTACAGACCGGGGACAACTTGGGGACAGCCCGGGGACCGACTGGGGGAGACCGGGGACAGACCGGGACAGACCGGGGAGAACCCGGGACAGACCGGGACAGCCCGGGGACGGCGCCAATGTCGCGATAGAGGCGGCGGGGACAGACCGGGACAGACCGGGACAGCCCGGGACAGCCCGGGGACGGCGCCAATGTCGCGACAGCGCCGGGCGGGGGAGTCCTCCGGGGGGGACGGGGACAGCTCAATGTCGTGACGCGCTGTGACAAGGACACCGCGACAGGGACACCGCCCCTGTGACAGGGACACCCCGAAATCGTGACACCCCGAAATCGTGACACCCCGAAATCGTGACACCCCCAGTGTGGGGACACTCTTGGGGACAGGGACACCCCCATGTCGTGACACCCCCCTGTGACAGGGACACACCGGGGACAGGGACACCCCAAGGTGGGGACACCCCCAATGTCGTGACACCCCCCTGGGGACAGGGACACCCTTGGGGACAGGGACACGGGGACAGGGACACCCCCTGTGTCGTGACACCCCTGGTGACAGGGACACCCCAATGTCGTGACACTGTGACAAGGACGCCCCTGGGGACAGGGACACCCCAATGTCGGGACACCCCAGGGCACAGGGACACCCAGGGGTGGTGACAATGGGGACACCCAGGGGTGGTGGCACCCGGACATTTGTGACACACAGGGGTGGTGGCACCCCAGACAGTGCCACCACCTGGGAGTGGTGACACCCGGACATTTGTGACACCCATGGGATGGTGGCACCCCGACAATTGTGGCACTCCTGAAGGTGCCACCCAGGGGGTGGTGACACCTGGACAGTTGTGACACCCAGGGGTGGTGACACCCGGACGATTGTGACACCCAGGGGGTGGTGACAATGGGGACACCCAGAGGATGGGGACACTCCTGAAGGTGCCACCCAGGGGGTGGGACACCCTGGGGATGGTGACAATGGTGACATCCAGGGGTGGTGACACCCAAGGAATGGTGACACCCAGAGGATGGTGCCACTCCTGAAGGTGCCACCTAGGGGGTGGTGACACCTGGACGATGGTGACACCCAGGGGTGGTGACACCCAAGGAACAGGGACACTCTGGGGGTGGGGACACTCCTGAATGTGCCACCCAATGGATGGTGACTCCTGGACAATTGTGACACCCAGGGGTGGTGACACCCAGAGGACGGGGACACCCAGACATTTGGGACACCCATGGGATGGTGGCACCCCGACAGTGGTGGCATTCCTGAAGGTGCCACCCAGGGGTGGTGACACCCGGATGATGGTGATACCCAGGGGTGGTGACACCCAGGGGTGGTGACACCCAGAGGACGGGGACACCCGGACATTTGTGACACCCAGGGGGTGGTGACAATGAGGACACCCAGAGGATGGGGACAGTGCCACCCAGGGGTGGGGACACCTGGACAGTTGTGACACCCAGGGGTGGTGACACCCGGACAATTGTGACACCCAGGGGGTGGTGACAATGGGGACACCCTGGGGATGGTGACACCCAGTGGAGGATGGTGACAGTGGTGACACCCAGGGGGTGGTGACACCCAAGGAATGGTGACACCCAGAGGATGGTGCCACTCCTGAAGGTGCCACCCAAGGAATGGTGACACCCAGCGGAGGATGGTGACAATGGTGACACCCAGGGGGTGGGACACCCTGGGGATGGTGACACCCAGCGGAGGATGGTGACAGTGGTGACACCCAGGGGTGGTGACACCCAAGGAACGGGGACATTCTGGGGGTGGGGACACTCCTGAAGGTGCCACCCAGGAATCAGGACAGGCGGTGACATCCCGGGAACGGCACCGCGGAGACCCCGGGGACAAGGTGGGGACAGAGGGGACACCGAGGGGACTTTGGGGACAATGTGGACAATGGGGAGGCCATGGGGACAAGGTGAGGACAATGGGGACACTGTGGGGACTTTGGGGACACCCTGGGAGCTTTGGGGACAATGGGGACACTGTGGGGACTTTGGGGACAATGGGGACACTTTGGGGACACTGTGGTGACCATGAGGACAAGGTGAGGACAATAGGGACACTCTGGGGACACCGAGGGGACTTTGGGGACACTCTGGAGACACTCTGGGGACAATGGGGACACCGAAGGGACTTTGGCGACACCGAGGGGACTTTGGGGACACTGTGGGGACACTGTGGAGGCCGTGGGGACAAGGTGAGGACAATGGGGACACTGAGGAGACTTTGGGGACAATGGGGACCCTGCTGGGCTTGTGGGGACACCCCGGGGGCAATGGGGACACTCTGGGGACAGGGCCACTGTGGGGTTGGGACATCCTGGGGACATGGGTGACGAGGCCACTCTGTGACAGGGGACACCTGTGGGGACACCGGGGTGTCCCACCCCCAAGGTGTCCCCAGATGTCCTGACACTCCTCCCGCCATGTCCCCCGCTGTCCTCGGGTGTCCCCATGTCCCCCATGTCCCTCTCTGTCCACAATGTCCCCAGTGTCCCCAGTGTCCCCATGTCCCTGTCTCTGTCCCCAATGTCCCTCTCTGTCCCCAGTGTCCCCAATGTCCCTGTCTCTGTGTCCCCAGTGTCCCCATGCTGCACCGCCTGCTGTCGCTGCTGCTGGCCCCACACTGTCCCCAATGTCCCCAATGTCCCCAGTGTCCCCAATATCCCATGTCCCCAATGTCCCCATGTCCCTGTCTCTCTGTCCCCAGTGTCCCCAATGTCCCATGTCCCCAATGTCCCATGTCCCTGTTTGTCCCCAGTGTCCCCATGCTGCGCCGCCTGCTGTCGCTGCTGCTGGCCCCACACTGTCCCCAATGTCCCCAGTGTCCCCAATGTCCCATGTCCCCCTCTCTGTCCCCAATGTCCCATGTCCCTCTCTGTCCCCAGTGTCCCCATGTCCCTGTCTCTGTCCCCATGTCCCATGTCCCTGTTTGTCCCCAATGTCCCATGTCCCTGTGTGTCCCCAGTGTCCCCATGCCGCGCCGGCTGCTGTCGCTGCTGCTGGCCCCACACTGTCCCCAATGTCCCCTCTGTCCCCAATGTCCCCATGTCCCTGTTTGTCCCCAATGTCCCCTCTGTCCCCAATGTCCCCTCTGTCCCCAGTGTCCCCATGCCGCGCCGCCTGCTGGCGCTGCTGCTGGCCCCACACTGTCCCCATGTCCCCAGTGTCCCCATGTCCCCAATGTCCCCTCTGTCCCCAGTGTCCCCAGTGTCCCCAATGTCCCATGCCCCTCTGTCCCCAGTGTCCCCATGCCGCGCCGCCTGCTGGCGCTGCTGCTGGCCCCGCACTGTCCCCAATGTCCCCAGTGTCCCCTCTGTCCCCAATGTCCCCAATGTCCCATGTCCCTGTCTCTGTGTCCCCAGTGTCCCCATGCTGCACCGCCTGCTGTCGCTGCTGCTGCCCCACACTGTCCCCAATGTCCCCATGTCCCTATCTCTGTCCCCATGTCTCCAATGTTCCCATGTCCCCAATGTCCCATGTCCCCCCCTCTCTGTCCCCAGTGTCCCCAATGTCCCATGTCCCTGTTTGTCCCCAGTGTCCCCATGCCGCGCCGCCTGCTGTCGCTGCTGCTGGCCCCACACTGTCCCCAATGTCCCCATGTCCCCAGTGTCCCCAGTGTCCCCAATGTCCCCAATGTCCCCA